AAAATAGGCTTCCAGTAGATGTTCATGAGCAGGACTGACACTGAAGCCAGCAAGGCTGAGCGGCTCATGGAAGGCTGGGGAGCTCTTCTGAGCATCCACAGATACTTCCTCCTACTCACTTTATTATATCCTCTCTGTTTATTGGGTGATTGTTTATTATTTACTTTATTTCCACGTGGCATTCTCTAGATACTTTGTAAGTGACTGACTGTGTTCGTCAACGAAACTTTGCAGAAGTCAGGCTTTGTAAATATAGTGGAAGAAAGGAGATTCACAGCTAAACGCTTCCTAATGAGGACACTGCGAACATGTTATTTTCAACATTCAACTCCTAAGTTTGAATAATTCATGAAAAAAAATCTGTTGAACTAAAGTGACTGGGCTATTTTAATGAAAGTAGAGATTTGGAATGTTTTAGAGCTGGAGATCAACACCCTCAGTGTTCATGAGAGAAGTGAAGGCAGGGAGAGGAAATGACCAGCCCACAACTCAGTGAGTTAATGAGCTCAGGTCTTCTGTGTCCCGTGCCCTCAAGGTCACACAGTGGCTAGTGGCCAATCTGAAACGAGAACTCAGGCTTTGAGATGCACACACCCAGTTCTTTCCATGGAGGCACCACAACTTGTCACAGGGATACCAGAGAGTAGGCAGGCCGAAGTTCCCTCTCTCCTGCACTGCTGGGTCACAGAAGACACAGGGAGATCATGTTTCCTTTCCTTTTCCATCCTCAATGATCAAGCCCAGTTGCTTTCTGCTCTGGCTGCACAGTAGACCCCCTGGGGAGCTTCTGAAAAATTTTGATGCTCAAAATCCACCCCAGGTCAATTAAACCAGTCTGGTGGCGGGCCCAGGCTTCAGTGTTTTAAAGCCCCCTAGGTGGTTCCAACCTGCAGCTAAGTTTGAGAAACATGAGTCTAGCCCTTCCCTCTCGTTTCTCCTATTTTCTTGATGGCCAGGCAGCATCCTTTCCTTGCTCCCTCTGTTCCCTTTTTGCTAATCCTCAGGAGAGGTTTTCTGTTTTTTTTTTTGACAGAGTCTCACTCTGTCGCCCAGGCTAGAGTACAGTGGCACAATCCTGGCTCACTGCATCCTCCATCTCCCGGGTTCAAACAATTCTTCTGCCTCAGCCTCCTGAGTAACTGGGACTACAGGTGCATGCCACCACGCCAGGCTAATTTTTGTAATTTTAGTAGAGACGGGTTTCACCGTATTGGCCAGCCTGGTCTCGAACTCCTGACCTTGTGATCTGCCCGCCTCAGCCTCCCAAAGTGGTGGGATTACAGGCGTGAGCTACCTGGCCTAATCCTCAAGTTTTAACATTGCAGTCACATGGTTAAGTTCAGGCTGCTGCCAATCCAAGCCATTTAAGACATTAGCCAAAAGCTTAGCTTTGCGATCCCCTTCTGATCTACTCCTCTCTCTGTCTCAGCTCGGCTGTGTCTTTGCTTCCTTCACCACTGCCCTCCTCAACTCCCACCCAGGCCTCACTCTCCCAGGAGTGGTTACCATTTGTAGCCTTTCTATCAAAGCCTCCCTCTTCCTTGGCTTCAGTCCCAGACGACTGTGAGGCTGGACTCTAGGAACTGGGAGTTCAGACTGGATGGAAAGCTTTGGGGATGCTGCTCCTATGATTATTGGTCCCAGAGGAATAATTCTTCCAGCAGCTCTTCTTTTTTTCTTGCTGGCTAAGTGTGTGGGTGTGCAGCAGGCATTTGCTAGGGAACGTGGGCAAAAAATAAAACTTTTCAAGCTTCAATTCTGCAGACAGATTGAGAGGCCTCCCAACAGTTCAGAATTGCTGAATCTGGCTCCATCCACCCACTTACCCCGCAGGAAGTGGTAGATCGAGTTCGATGTGTTTTGATTTGTTAACAGTGGCCTAGCTTATGGGAGTTTAACTCATAAGGGTGGTGCTTTAAAATAAACTATAAAATAAACAAATAATTATTGAATATCCATTGCATGCAGGGCACTGTGCTAGAAACTGATTAAACCCAAATTGAAGGTCACCTCTGCTGAAGGTATTTTATGGGCAATAGAAGGAGACAGGAAGAGAGGGGAATAGGAATAGGAAGAAAATTAAAAGCCATAAAAGCAAAAAGGGTTAGGGGTAGAAGGATGACAGCTGTGTGTTTGACTTCCCAGGACTTAAAGTCCTGAACTATTTGTCCAGTCCATTCTCACCAACCATATTGGAGCCACCATATTGTTTTAATCTTGCCATTTGACCTCCAAGGTATTTTGGGGGCCCCTCAGAGAGCTTAGCAAACATTATCCTAAGACAGCTGCAGCTTCTTTCTCAATCCATCTCCATCTCCCTCTGCCTGTGTGTCTTTTTGTCACTTTCTAACTCCCACACTTTATCTCCCTTGCTATCTCTTAGATACGTAACTTTTTTTCATGAATACATAAAGAAAGAAATCCAAGCTCTCAGCCATTTATCGAACTAATAATGAATATTATTGGTAGAAATGACCAACACAAATTAACAGCTAAAACTACATATAGGAAAAAAAATGGTTATTGATGGAAAATTGCCTGAAGAGTCAAATCTTCTTGACAAAATGTAGACGTCCAGATAGGATCAAGAAAAATTGGATTTGGTAGAAATGATGGCCATGAAGTAAAATCCTTGAAGGCAGATGTTATAATTGGTAAACTTTGACATGGACAAAAACTTGATAATGAATCAAATTTTGTTGTAAAATTTAAAAAGAGGCAGGAGATTGCTTGAGGCTAGGAGTTCAAAACCAGCCTGGACAATACAGTGAGACTCCATCTCTATTGAAAAAAAAAAAAAGAGGCTGGGCATGGTAATTTATGCCTGTAATCCCAGTACTTTGGGAGTCCGAGGGGGGCAGATCACTTGAGGTTAGGAGTTCAAGACCAGCCTGGTCAACATGGTGAAACCCCGTCTCTACTACTAAAAAAAAAAAAAAAAAATTAACCGGGCGTGGTGGCAGGTGCCTGTGTTCCAAGCTACTTGGGAGGCTGAGGCAGGAGAATCACTTAAACCTAGGAGGCAGAAGTTGCAGTGAGCCGAGATTGCACCACTGCACTCCAGCCTGGACAACAGAGCAAAACTCTGTCTCAAAAATAATAATAATAATAATTGATGCCAATGAAAATAACATCAATAAACTATATATAAAATGATAAAAACTGGAAACTGTGATGTATGAAAAATTGATCGTTGAATTTCATTACTAATGACATTTGTTCTAGAGACACACTTTCTTGATGTAAGTCTGTCAACGTTGGCATAATTCTGATGAGAATATAGTGAGATTTCTACTGCGGTAGCAATAACAGTGAAAAATATCATGACCCCATAGGGGCTGCCTGATGAACAGGCAGCAAGGTGAAAGCTCCAACAGGGTGGGGCTTAGGAATCTGTATTTCTTTTAAAAAATCAAAAACAAAAAAAACCCCTCCATCTTTTGAACTATAATGTAAACGAACCAATTAGTAACAAAATGTTTGGGGAATAACCAGAAAAATTTGAACATTGACAGAATGCTGGAGAGTATTACTCCACTATTATTATTATAAGCACAATGATGGTATTGTGGTCATATATTTTTATAGTCCTGTTATGGACTGAATTGTATGCCTCCAAAATTCACATGTTGAAGCCTTAACCTCCATTGTGACTGTATTAGAAGAAGGACCTTTAAAGAGGTAACTGGGGTAAATGAGGACCTAATCTAGTAGGAATGGGGTGGGGTCCTAACTAATAGGACTGGTGTCCTTATAGGAATAAGAGCCATGGGGTGGGGCACTAGCATAAAGAAAAGGCTAAGTGGGGGACACAGTGAAAAGGTGGCCATCTGCAAGCCAAGAGAGAGGCCTCAGGAGATACTAACCCTGCCAGCACCTTCATCTGGACTTGTAGCCTCTAAAAGTGAGAGGAAAAAAATGTCTATTGCTTTAGCCACCCAGCCTATGGCATTTGTTATGGAAGCATTAGCAAACTAAAATGAATCCATATATATTAGAGATACCCACTGAATTACTTAGGAGTGGAATAATATGATGTCTAAAATTTTGCTTTACAATACTCCAGAAATAAAAATTGAGGATAGCAGATGGACAAAACAAGACTAGCTAAGGTTGACAGTTATTGGAGCTGGGTAACAAGCACTTGGAGGTACAGTGTGCTATTCTGTTCTGTGGACTGTTTGAAAATCTCCAAGGCCATGCACGGTGGCTCACGCCTATAATCCCAGCACTTTGGGAGGCCGAGGTGGGCGGATCACCTGAGGTTGGGAGTTTGATACCAGACTGACCAACATGGAGAAACCCCATCTCTCCTAAAAATACAAAAATTAGCTAGGCATGGTGGCACATGCCTATAGTCCCAGCTACTTGGGAGGCTGAGGAAGGAGAATCGCTTGAACCCAGAAGATGGAAGTTGCAGTGAGCAGAGATTGTGCCACTGCACTCCAGTCTGCTCGACAGGAGCAAGACTCCAACTCAAAAAAAAAAAATCCAAATAAGTTTTTAAAAATTGACAGTGATAATTGTACAGGTTATTTTTATGTATATTCAAGTAGATAATTACAAGAAAAGGTTTCCCATAATCTTGCATTCTTATCTGTGCTGCTGTGGCCTGGAATAAAATGTGTTACAAATGTGTATTTATAAATAAAACATTAACTAAATATAATAAGGGAAAAGGATAAAAATGCCGACTGCAGACAGTGGAACTGTGGGCAAGGGGCAAGCAGTCTGAGAAGGAGGAATCAGCATTTATTGAGTGCCTTGTCCATACCAGGTGCTTTATAGACATTGTCTTTGGATACTCACATAGGTCTATGAAGTAGACTTACCATTTCAGTCCTTTCAGAACATTTTAATATGAAGAAACTAAGGCCCAGGGAGGATGAATGAATTCCTGAGATCCCATATTAGGAAGTGGCTGAGCTGAGATTTTAATCCTGTCTGCTTCCAAAACTTGCATTCTTTTCTCTATTAAAACTTACATACCTTTTCCCTAGATATCGTGAAATACCAGATCATAAAGGACAGAGGAATCCTGAAGAGGATAAAATCATGGAGAGATGGGGCCAGTTAACATTACCAAAGGAGCTGGGCTTGGAGGTAAGTCCTGGAGGTGGAGAAGAGACAAGCAAGCAATCTAGGAGTAGGGAGGGATGGCAAAGATGCAGAAACTTGGTAGCAGGTGGAGAACAGGGTAAGAATGAGAGGCCACCACTGCAGGCTCATATTTCTTGAATGAAAGGGTAGACCAGATGATCTTTCAAATCTAAAATTCTGTCAACCCTCATCTGGGCCTCTCCACTACGATGTTCCACCTTCATCTCCAGTTCTACATTTTTAAAACTAGATTCATTACTTTCTCTCTTCCCCACCTGAATCAATTTCCTCCTGGCTTCCCTCACCTGCTGATAGAGTTATTTTCCCACCTATGTTTAACACCTGTAATCTTTACCAATCTTGTCCAGGCCCAAGTCTTGGGACAGCACTGGTAAACGGATTCTTTGCTCAAAACTCCAGGAGCTCCCCTATCTGTCACTGGAATACCTAAGCCATATTCTGACCTCAGAGCCTTTGCACTGGCAGTTCTTTCTACCCAGAAGGCTCTTCTGCTAGATATTCATCCTAATGTCCTTTAAGACTTTACTGAATGTCACCATCTCAATGAGATCTTCCTTGACCACCTGTTTTAAGTTGCAACTACCTCCGTCTTCCCCTGCTGCATGACTAATCTCCCATACCGATATATTTTTTCCCTGAGCACTTTTTTTTAACACGCTATTTGTTTTTCTTTTCTCTTAAAAATTGTGTATCTCCCTTCATTAGAATAGAAGTCAGACAAGGGCAGGGCTTTTTGTCCAATTTGTTCACTTTCCTAACCCTAAAAATGAACAACAATGGCTGGGCACATAGAAATTTCTCAATGAATGAATGAATTCGTGTTTTATAAACGAAGTACAGCACAACAAATAAAGACATAGAAAAGTGCTGGGAAACAAAAAGGGCTGTCAATTCCACCCACTTGGGAATGGCAGGAAAAATTTCACATGAGTTAACAATTGAGCTGAGATTTAAAGGTAAGTGGGCAAGGCAGATGGGGTAGGTGAATAATGGTCCCCAAAGAGATCAAGTCCTAATCCCTGGGGAGCCTGGGGTTATATGGTGTATTAGTCCATTCTCATGCTGCTATAAGGACATAGTGAAGACTGGGTAAGTTATAAAGAAAAGAGGTTAATTGACTCATAATTCCACAGGGCTGGGGAGACCTCAGGAAATGTTACAATTGTGACAGAAGGGGAAGCAAACGCGTCTTTCTTCACATGGTGGCAAGAGCGAGAAATTAGAGTTGAGCGAAGGAGGAAGCCCCTTATACCATCAGATCTCGTGAGAACTCACTCACTATCATGAGAACACTATGGGGGAAATTCAATTGTCTCCACCTGGTCCTGACCTTGACATGTGGGGATTATTACAATTCAAGATGAGATTTTGGGCAGGGACACAGCCAACCATATAATATGGCAAAAGAGACTTAACAGATGTGACTAAGCTAATTATTTTGAGATGGAAAGATTATTCTGTTTTATCCAGCTGGACCATAAATGCAGTAACAAGTATTCTTATAAGGGAGAGACAAAGGTAGGTTTAGCAGCAGCAGCATAAGCAGAAGTTGATGTGACAGTGGAGCAAGATGCTGTGCTGCTTCTGGCTTTAAAGATGGATGAAGGAGTCGTGAGCCAAGGAATGCAAAGAATGTATGTGGCTCTAGAAGCTGGAAAAGGCAAGGAAACAGATTCTTCCCTCCAGCTTGTGGAGGGAGCACAGCCCTGCTGACGCCTTGATTTCAGCTCAGTAAAACTGATTTTGGATTCTGACCTCCAGGACTGCAAGAGAATAAATGTGTATTGTTTTAAGCCACCAAGTTTGTGGTAATTTGTTACAGCAGCCATTAAAAACTAATACAGCAGGCGAGGGCATCCTATTAAGAGGGAATAGTATGTACAAATTATGAAAGTGACAGCACTTTCAAGAATCCCTTGGGAAACTTAATGTACCAGGGTTAAGCAGTAAGGAGTGGAGAAAGATGGGGTTGGGGACGTGGCAGGGGCTAGATTGTGAAGGGCCTTGTATGACATGCAGAGGAGTTGGGTGGTATCCTATTGGTGTAGAAGAATGTAATGACATTTAGTCCTGAATGACATATTCCTGGCTGCAGGGAGTGCTGCTGGTAGATGGCCCTTACTTGCAATTCTCTTTTGGGATTTCTCTTTTATGCATGTAGCTGTCTATCCCAAGATCATACTAGCTTCCTGGGACAACCAGTCATTGGTCTACACAGAAGTATACTCTGTCAATTCACTCCAATTCAGAAGAACCCCAGAGGGACATCCCAACTTCAGAGCTTCCCAGGAGGTTAGCTAAAGCTTTGTTGTGATGACTTTGGAGCTCAACTTCCTGCTTCCTTCTTTCCCTTCTACAGGTATTAATCTCAAGAGCCCTCCCTAATGAATACCCTGCATGCTAGTCTCTGTCTCATTCGGCCTCCCTGGGAACTCATCTTGCCAATGGGAGTGAAGTGGTCTTTAAGTAAGAGAATGAGAGGTAAGATTGGATTGGGTGGTGATAACTCAGATCAGTGTGAGGATGCGCTAGGCTGGGGAAAGACTGGAGGAGAGATCAGTTAGGAAACGAGCAAGATTCCAGGTAAAAGATGATGAAGTCTTGGATAAGGGTAGAGGCAAAAGCAACTCTATGCATGGCCGCCAGCTTTCCTGTGACCAGCCTCATGGAGCCTAATCCATAACATATTAGCTAAAAGAAGTTCTTCCTCATAGGCAGCACAAGTGAAAATAGACAAATCAGATTACATCAAAGTAAAAAGCTTCTGCACAGCAAAAGAAAAAATCAACAGGGTGAAGAGACAACCTATGAAGTGGGTGAAAATTGCAAACCCATCTGATAAAGGATTAATATCCAAAGTATATTAGGAGCCCAAACAACTCACTTGCAAGAAAACAACCTGATTTTAAAAATGAGTAAAGGACCTGAATAGACATTTCTCAAAAGAAGACATACAAGTGGCCAATAGGTATATGAAAAAAATGCCCCGTATCACTAATCATCAGAGAAATGCCGATTAAAACCAAAATGAGCATCACCTTATACCTGTTAGAATGGCTATTATCAAAGACAAAAGATGTTGGTGGGATGTGGAGAAAAATAATTGCATGCTGTTGGTGAAAATTTATACTAGTACAGCTGTTATGGAAAACAGTATAGAGGTTCCTCAGACAATTAAAAATAGGACCACCAGGCCAGAGTGGTGGCTCACGCCTGTAATCCCAGCACTTTGGGAGGTCGAGGTGGGCAGATCATGAGGTCAAGAGATCGAGACCATCCTGGCCAACATGGTGAAACCCTGTCTCTACTAAAGATACAAAAATCAGCTTGGCATGATGGCATGCACTTGTATTCCCAGCTACTCAGGAGGCTGAGGCAGGAAAATCTCTTGAACCTGGGAGGCAGAGGTTGCAGTGAGTCGAGATCGCACCACTGCACTCCAGCCTGGTGACAGAGCAAGACTTCATCTCAAAAAAAAAAAAAAAAAGACTACAATATGATTCAGCAATCCCACTACTGGGTATGTGTTCAAAGGACATGATATCAGTATGTTGAAAAGATATCTGCACTCTCATGTTAACTGCAGTGCTGTTTATAATAGCCAGACATGGAAACAACCTAAGGGTCCATCAATGGATAAATGGATATAGAAAATGTGATTGTATTTATGAGGAAGGCATGTTGAAAGCTGAGATGGGTCAATAGCTAAGCCTCTTACGCCAGTTAGTCAATTTGTAAATGCAAAGGAAAGGTTCTTGAAGGAAATTACAAGTACCTTACTGTTGATATAGAGAACGTTTGAGTGGTCTGGATAGAAAATCAAATAGCTACAACATTCCCTTAAGTCAAAGCCTAATCCAGAGCAAAATCCTAAGTTTCCTCAATTTTATGAAGGCTGAAAGTGGTGAGAAAGGTGCAGAAGGAAAGTTGAAATCTGGTAGTGGTTGGTTTATAAAGTTTAAGGAAAGAAGCCATCTCCATATCATAACAGTGCAAGGTGAAGCAGCAAGTGCTGATGTAAAAGCTGCGGCACGTTATCAAAAAAATCAAGCTAAGATAATTGATAAAATTGGCTACACTAAATAATTGATTTTTAATGTAGACAAACAGACTTCTATCGGAAAAAGATGCCGTCAAGGACTTTCATAGCTAGAGAGAAGTCAATGCCGGCCTTCAAAGTTTCAAAAGATAGGCTGACTCTCTTACTAGGGACTAATGTAGCTGATGACTTTACCTTTGACACCAATGCTTATTTCCCATTCCAAAAATCCAAGGATCCTTAAGAATCATGCTAAATCTACCCTGCCTGTGCTCAATAAATGGAACAGCGAAGTCTGAATGATGGCACATCTGTTTACAGCATGGTTTACTAAATATTTTAAGCCCACTGTTGAGACCTACTGTGCAGAAAAAAAGATTCCTTTCAAGATACTAATACTCAATGACAATATACCTGGGCACCCAAGAACTCTTATGGAAGTGTACAAGATGATTAACGTTGTTTTCAGGCCTACTAACGTGACATTTATTCTCTAGCCCAAGAATCAAGAAGTAGTTTGGACTTTCAAGTCTTATTATTTAAGGAATACTTTTAGTGAGGCTATAGCTACCATAGATAATGATTCCTTTGATAGATCTGGGCAAAGGAAATTAAGAACTTCCCTGAAAGAATTCACCATACTAGATGCCATTAAGAACAGTTGTGATTGATTGGAGGAAGTCAAAATATCAGCATTAACAAGAGTTTGGAAGAAGTTGATCCCCCTCATGAATGATTCTGAGGTGTTTAAGATTTCAGTGGAGGAAGTAACTGCAGATGTGGTAGAAATACTAAGAGAACTGGAATTAAAGGTGGAACCTGAATATGTGTCTGAATTCCTGCAATCTCATGATAAAATGTTAATGGATGAGGAGTTACTTCTCATGGATGGTCAAAGAAAGTGATTTCTACTGACACAACATTTATTCTCCAAACGTTGTGTCTCTCCAAAAGGCATTGCATTATGATATGTGCCCTCTTCGGGGGTGGCAGAGGAAGCAAAGAAAAGAAGTTCTGTCTCCTTACTGAGTTGTGAGTGGATACTCCTAGTGAATATGCTGTGAACATTGTTGCAGTGACAACGAAGGGTTTAAAATATTACATAAACATAGTTGATACATCAGCAACAGGACTTGAGAGCATTAACTCCAAATTTGAAAGAATTTCTGCTGTGGGTAAATTGCTATCAAACAGTATCATATGCTACAGAGAAATCTTTCATAAAATGAAGAGTCCATGGATGTGACAAACTTCACTGTTGTCTTATTTTGAGAAATTACCACAGCCAGCCCAACCTTCAGCAACTACCTCCCAGATCCAGTCATCAGCCATTAACATGGAGGCAAGGCTTCACCAGCAAAAAGATTACAACTCGATAAAGGCTTAGATGATTGGTAGCATGTTTTTAGCAATAAATTACTTTTAAGTTAAGCTATACACTTTTTTAGACATAATGTTATTGCACATTTACTAGACTATGGTATAACAAATGCATAGTGTAAACATAACTTTTATATGCACTGGGAAAATAACAAATTTGTATGACTCACTTTATTGTGATATTTGCTTTAATACTGGACTTGAACCTGCAGTATTTCCAGGGAATACCTGTATTCTTAAAAACCCCTGACAGTAGATTTTAAGTGTTCTCACCACAAAAAATGAAAAATATGGGAGGTAGTACATTTGTTAATTAGCTCAATTTAGCCAGTCCACAATTTATACATATTTCAAAACATCATCTTGTACAAAATAAATATATAAAGTTTTTACTTGGTAATTTGAAAATAATTTTAAAAAGAAGTCCTTCTTTATTATGGCCTGAGTCTTTTCATTTTGTCCCTCATTTCTAATCCACCTTTCTGGAACATGTCTACTTTCTTACCAAAAATATCTTCTCTGTTTCCCTGGTGAACAATCAGCTTCAACAAGCAGCAGGTGTGATCAACATTCTTCTCAGAGCAAGAAACCTACCATACTGGGAAGTGTTCTTCTTTCCATTTCTTTTTGAATATCTCCAATGTTAGAGAGCTCATTATCTTACAAGGCTGTGTATTCTCATTGACATGGCTTGGCTTTGTCCCTACCCAAATCTCATCTTGAATTGTAGTTCCCATAATCCCTATGTGTCATGGAGGGACCAGGTGAGATGTAATTGAACCATGGGGGTGGTTACCCCCATGCTGCTGTTCTTAAGGTAGTGAGTGGGTTCTCACAAGATCTACTGGTTTTGTAAGGGGCTTTTCCCTCTTCACTCAGCACTTCTTCCTGCTATCATGTGAAGAACATGTTTGCTTCCCCTTCTACCATGATTGTAGGTTTTCTAAGGCCTCCCCAGCCTAGTAGAACTATGAGTCAATTAAACCTCTTTCCTTGTAAATTACCCAGTCTCGGGCAGTTCTCTATAGCAGCGTGAGAATGAACTAATACACTCAGTCTCAGTTGAGAGCCTTATACCAAACCTGAAACTGCTTGTAGCTTTCGCTTGGTTCTAGTTATGAGACATATCATCAGTATGGAACAATGTGTTTAGAAGTCCTAGTTTTGGAGTCAAACAGAAATTAGTTCAAATCCAGATTCTGCTACTTAAAGTGACCTTGGTCCTTTTATGTCAACTAGTTTGCTCAACTGTAAAATGGGGACAAAAATAGAATCTCCCTCATAAAGTTACTGTTTAAAAAAAGAGGCCGGGCGCGGTGGCTCAAGCCTGTAATCCCAGCACTTTGGGAGGCCAAGGCGGGTGGATCACGAGGTCAAGAGATCGAGACCATCCTGGTCAACATGGTGAAACCCCGTCTCTACTAAACATACAAAAAAATTAGCTGGGCGTGGTGGCGCATGCCTGTAATCCCAGCTACTCAGGAGGCTGAGGCAGGAGAATTGCCTGAACCCGGGAGGCGGAGGTTGCGGTGAGCCGAGGTCGTGCCATTGCACTCCAGCCTGGGTAACAAGAGCGAAACTCTGTCTCAAAAAAAAAAAAAAAGAATATTTTGGCCAGGTGCAGTGTCTCACGCCTGTAATCCCAGCACTTTGGGAGGCCGAGCCCAGCAGATCACGAGGTCAGGAGTTCAAGACCAGCCTGGCCAACATTTCTACTAAAAATAAAAAAATTAGCCAGGTGTGATGGTGCACACCTGTAATCCCAGCTACTCAGGAGGCTGAGCCAGAAGAATTGCTTGAACCTGGGAAGCAGAGGTTGCAGTAAGTGGAGATGGCACCACTGCACTCCAGCCTGGATAAAAGAGTGAGACTCCATCTTGGAAAACAAAAGAAAAAGGAACAATTTTAAAGCATGATACCTGGCACATTGTAAATGCTTAATAAGTAGTCGATATTATTATGGATGTTAGATGTCAATTGAATATGTCTCTCCAAAAGGCATTGCATTATGATATGTGCCCTCTTCAGGGTGACAGGGGAAGCAGAGAAAAGAAGTTTGTCTCCTTACCAAGTTGTGAGTGGATACACACCTGACCTCTTTGAACAAAATGCATGTTAAGCACAGTAATGGTGTGTAGACTCTCATGCAGGATAGGAGGAAGCTATAATCAGCGTGTCTCCCATGGCTTATATCTGCCTACTTAGGAGGAAAAAGAATTTGTTTTCCATTTACCAAACAGCAGCTCTGCATAATAAGAAGGGATTGATTTTCTCAGCATTCCATTAGCTCTGAGTCTTTCAAGAGAGTATAATGCATTCCAGTGGGGGAGATGAATTGCGTCATCAGGGAGCTGGAACGGGACCTGGAGAGGAATCAGGCTGGGGTATCAGCTTTCAAAGGGAATAATCTCACTCTTCTCCCCATTTTCCTTATATATTTTTTCCAAATCTTTGAAGCTTGGCATTTTGTATCCACATTTCTGATCTAGACACTTATTTCATAACCAGCTCAACTGCTGACCCAGTTAAATAATAATGAGTGGATTCTCATAAATCTCAACTTTTTCTCTCAGGAGAACCCATGGAAGAGGCTGCAGAGTGGTGGCTGTGGGAGAAGTCATCACTAGTGATGTCAAAACCCATTGCTTGATTGGTGGTGCTAAACACTAGGTGTCTGCGCACCATCAAAACATTCGGTAGGAGAGAAAGAAAAATTTAGTTAATGCATTGGTTGTTTTGTCCACCTGGTATTCACACAAGTAAAAGAAACAGAGAGAAGAAAATACTGTCTTCCAGAAAATGGCGTGATTTTTTTTTTCTCATAGAAGAAAGTTTGCTTACTGGAGGTTTATGTGGGAAATATAGTATAACCAGTAGTGTGATAGCAAATGTTTAACATGGACACTAGCAGGTGAAGGGAGCGTGAGTTGGTAGAAGGTGCTCATTTTTGTGGTGTATATATTCTCACCATAGTTGATTTCAAGCTACTAACACAACAACACTCAGTGCGGTATTGGGAGAGATGAGCAGAAGCGCACCATTCTGTGGTGTTTCTACCATCCCTAACCTGTGAGGTCTCTACTCACTTACACACTCACTCAGTCATTCATCTTTTATTTATTCAACATTTATTGAGCACCTGCTGGGCAATGGAAATACTGAAATGGACAGGAGGATCTCAAGATAGACAAGAGAGGTGATGACTGTAGGGGAATGTAATAAATGTATGATAGAGTTAGGAATAGGCAAGGTGACTGGGAGGAAGAGTGGCCTCTTGGACTGACTGTTCAGTCCTCCAGCTGCTTCCTCAGAAAGAGTTTGACAAAAGATCCCTTTCCCCAGCTTGATACACTCTCTTTCCTTGGCCTCCAGGACACCATTCTCTCCTGGTTTTGTTTGTTTGTTTGTTTGTTTTTTCCCTGTCTTGTTGGCAGCCCCTTCTCAGTCTCCTTTGTTGCTTCCTCCTTAGCTCTATGACCTTTAACTATTGCAGTGTCCCAGATTCCAGTCCTTGGACATCTCATCTTTTCTACCTCCCTCACCCATTGGTAATTTAATCCATTGTCAAGATTGTAGATGATCTATGGCCCCAGCTGTAGACCATCCCACAACCCTGTACACTAGACTCATCTATCCAATTGCCTGTTTGAAAATCCCCATATGGCTAATACGTGTCTCCAACTTAACATGCTCAAAGTTGAATCCCTGACCTCTGTCCTCTTGCTCCTCCTCCATCTTTGCTGCCCCAGGAAACGGCCACTCTACCCTTTCAGTTGTTCAGGGGCTCAAAACCTATAAATCATTCTTTCTTTCTCTAAGGCCCCAAATTTAATCCATTGGCAAAGATTGTGAACTGTCTTCCAAGCATCCAAGAAGCAGACATGTCTCACCCCCTCCACCACCTTCACCATGGATCATGCCACCATTGCCCGCCTGAATTATTGTATGATGTCCAAATACATCTTTCTTCCTCCACTCTTGTCCACTGCTGCCCCCACCTACAACAGACACCTATATTCAATTCGCAACATAGCAGCCAAGTGTCCTGTTGAAAAAAAGGTAGATCATTTTCTTAACCTTGTAGGATTGCTGAGGGTATTGCGATGTGTGGCACATGACAAACATTCAATTTTTGTTAGCTATTATTGTTCCATTTAAATGTTCGAGCTATTATACTATGTGATTTCTTTTTTATTTTATTTATTTATTTTTTGAGATGGTGTCTTGCTCTGTCACCCAGGCTGGAGTGCAACAGCATGCTCTCAGCTCACTGCAACCTCCGCCTCCTGGATTCAAGCAATTCTCCTGCCTCAGCTTCCCAAGTAGCTGGGATTACAGGTGTGTACCACCATGCCTGGCTAATTTTTGTATTTTTAGGTAGAGACTGGGTTTCACCATGTTGGTCAGGCTGGTCTTGAACCCATGACCTCATGATCCGCCCGCCTCAGCCTCCCAAAATACTGGAATTACAGGTGAGCCACTGCGCCCTGCTTATACTATGTGATTTCTAGTATTCGATCTTGTTAGTTCTCACAGACAGGTAGCTTGTGCTTTGAACATAGCACCCATAATCATGAAGATAGTAGGTCTTCAGTTTCAGAGCAGAGGAGATGTTGAGCTACAATACAAATGATGCCCTCAGAAGGTCTATTTTAATAATGGAGACCAATTTAGTTTAATTGAGAGAGCCAAAAATGTCCAATTTGGCAAATTAAGTATCATTAGTATACAGTAAAAATCATGCTTTACTTTTATTACTTTTTAGTTTTGAGATAGGTCTCGTGCTGTCACCCGGGCTCAAGCCACCTCTGCTTCCCAGGCTAAAGCCATTCTCCAATCTCAGTCTCCTGAAAAGCTTGGACTGTAGGTGCACAACACCATGCCCAGCTAATTTTTGTGTTTTTTTTTAAAGACACAAAATATTTGTAAAGATGGGATTTCACCATGTTGCTCAAGCTAGTCTTCAACCCTTGAGCTCAAGGGATCCACCCACCTCAGCCTCTCAAAGTTCTAGGATTACAAGTATGAGCCACTGCACCTGGTCAATTTATCCTTTTTGGTGTACAGTTCCATGAGCTTTGACAGAGGCATACAGCCAGGTAACTGACACAGGTACTTTATCACACCTTGATAAAGTTTACATTTCTCTTGAGTAAAATTGGGATTGCTGGGTCTACCTATGTTGTGGGAAAACTTACATTTTAGATTATTCTTGAATAAACGTAGAACTACTACTCTCACATTCAAGATGTGAAGATAAGTAATTCAAAATCTAAGCTGTTGGAACTATAAAATATTTTGAGCCTTAAGAGAATGTGATTATGGGAACTGAGTCTCAAAAACAGGCAGCTATGGCCAGGCGTGGGGGCTCATGCCTGTAATCCCAGCACTT